GGTCCCCACTGCCGGGTCCCGCGGGTCCCTGGGGAGGGGTCTGGCGCTTGCCGCCGCGGCCCCCCCAGCCCCGGTCTGGGTCCCCGCAGGCTGCTGGGGGGCGCAGGGCAGGTTCGCCTACAAGCTGCTCCACGACCTCTTCGCCAACTACTCCAGTGCCCTGCGCCCCGTGGAGGACACAGACCGGGCGCTCAACGTCACCCTCCAGGTCACCCTCTCCCAGATCATCGACATGGTGAGTGGCCGGGCATGGCACCAGCACCGGCACCGGCACGGGCACTGGCACCGGCAGCCCAGCCCTGCCCAGCCAAAACGAGACCGTCCTCGTCACGCTCCTGGCCGCCGCTTAGACAGGCTCTGCTCCCCCCTCAGTGGGTCCTGCTCATCCCAGAGCTGATGCTCATCCCTTGAAACCAGTCCAGACCCCCTCAAAACCAGCCCAGCTGCCCCCAAGCCATCTCAGACCACTTGAAGGTAGCTCAGACCCCCTCAAAACCAGCACAGCCCCCCCAAAATGAGCTCAGGCCACTTGAAACCAGCTCAGACCTCTCCAGCCTCCCAAAACCGGCACAACCCCCTCGACGGCAGCTCAGCCCCTTGGGCCCCTTGCAGGGGCTGCCGGGCTGGGGGCCAAGGGGGCAGCGGGCGGCGCTGGGGTCCGTCCCCCACGCCCACCCTCTCCCCTCGTCAGGACGAGAGGAACCAGGTCCTCACCTCCTACCTGTGGGTCCGCCAGGCCTGGCTGGACGCCCACCTCACCTGGGACAAGGACGCCTACGACGGCATCGACAGCATCCGCATCCCCAGCAGCTACATCTGGCGGCCGGACATCATCCTCTACAACAAGTGGGTGGTGCTCAGCACCCCCCACGCTGCTCCCGGAGCCGGGGGGGCTCAGGCTGGGGCTGAGGGGGGCTGCACGAGGCATTGCCAACCTCGGGGCTGCACGGCTGCGTGAGCAGGGGGGTCCTGGCGTGGGTGATGCTGGGAGATGGCCACCTCGGCTGGGTGACAAGGGGGGGGCCAGGGAGGGCAGGGAGCGCTGGCAGCAGCCCGGTGTGCCTGGCACCGGCCTGCCAGCCGGGACGTGCCACCACGGGGGTGGCGGGGGGCACCGAGCCCCCTCTTTGGGTGGCAGGGTGACGTGGGGAGGGGACATCGCGCTGGGGGCAGGCGCTCGGCCCTGGCCCCGCAGACCCTCGCCCTGCATGAGGCTCGGGGCCATCCTGGCCCCATGGCCGTCCCTTCCCCAGTGCCGACGACCGCTTTGGCGGCTCGATGGAGACCAACGTGGTGCTGCGCTCCGACGGGCACATCATGTGGGACTCGCCCGCCATCACCAAGAGCTCCTGCAAGGTGGATGTCTCCTACTTCCCCTTCGACGGGCAGCGGTGCCACCTCACCTTCGGCTCCTGGACCTACAATGGGAACCAGATCGACCTCCGCAACCGGCTGGACACCGGGGACCTGACGGACTTCGTGGAGAACGTGGAGTGGGAGGTACTGGGCATGCCGGCCACGAGGAATGTCATCACCTACGGCTGCTGCTCCGAGCCCTACCCCGACGTCACCTACACTTTGCTCCTCCGCCGCCGCGCCTCCTTCTACATCTTCAACCTGCTCCTGCCCTGCATCATGGTCTCCTTCCTGGCGCCCCTCGGCTTCTACCTGCCAGCCGACTCAGGCGAGAAGGTCTCGCTGGGGGTGACGGTGCTGCTGGCCCTCACTGTCTTCCAGCTGCTGGTGGCGGAGAGCATGCCGCCCTCGGAGAGCGTCCCGCTCATTGGTGAGCCTCAATGACACCCAGGACCCTCCCATGGGACCAGGGCGTCTGCGCCGGGGCGACAGGCAGCACCCACACCGGGGGGCTGTGGCGCAGGGATGGGGTGCAGGTCTCTACCCCCTCTGCCGCGGCGTCACCACCCATTGCCCACGCAGGGAAGTACTACATTGCCACCATGACCATGATCACGGCCTCTACTGCGCTGACCATCTTCATCATGAACATCCACCACTGCGGGCCAGGGGCCCGGCCCGTGCCCCCCTGGGCCAGGCGGTTCATCCTCCACCACATGGCCCGGCTCTGCTGCGTCTACGAGGTGGGAGAGAGCTGCAAGAGCCCCCGGCGGGCACCAGGAAGGCGGGTGGGCAGGGGGGACGCCGGTGTGCTGGGGGAGAGCCCTGAGGAAGGGGAGGTGGGGGCCGAGGCGGGGGTCTGCCCCCGGGACCGCTGCCTGTGCCACCACGATGGCCTGCTGAGGAACGTCAGCTACATCGCCGGCTGCTTCCGGCGCCACAGAGCCGCCCAGCGCTGGACCAGTGAGTGGAAGAAGGTGGCCAAGGTGATGGACCGCTTCTTTATGTGGGTCTTCTTCATCATGGTCTTCCTCATGAGTGTGCTGGTCCTGGGCAAAGCTGCTTGATGGCCCTGCGGACCCACCGCCCCGATGCACCCCCTGCCCATGACCACCCAGGGACAGTGGCGGCTATGGGTGCCCCATGAGGGTGGCTCATCCAGAGCACCCCCAGCCACCCATGGAGCTGCAGGGTGGAAGCTCCACCAGCAGCAGGGAAGAGGACCCCGACAGCAGGACCCCGGCCCCGGCCAGGGCCGTCCCAGCTTCAGGGCTGAGCGGTCCCAGCCCCCCAGGTGGCTGCGCCAGGGCCTGTGCCCCCGTGCCCCCATTGCACCCTGTGCCCGAGAAATCCAACAAGTTGGAAATAAACCCTGGAGCGTGTGTCCTCCCTCTCCTGCCTGGGGGCTGGGGCATCCTGGGGCCTCGCCCAGGAAGGGCTGCGGCACTGGCACCAGCAGCAGCCAGCGTGGGCTGGGGGTGTGCGCAGGGTGGGCAGCAAAGAGGTGTGGGACCCTCAGGAACCCTTCTCTCTGTGGGGCCATGCCCAGTCCTTGCAGCCCCATCCAGAGCTCTGCAGCGGAGGGAGGGCTGGGCAGAGCCTTTCGCTCCGTGGATGTATATATAGAGATATAAAGATATACACAGACACACATACATACCCCTATGTGGGCACTGCTGGCTGGCAGGGTCCTGCTCCCCGAGCCCTCCCAGTCCCCCAGCTACCGGTGCAGCTTGAGGGTCTCATATCACCCCAAAACCACCCATGAAACCCTGCAGCACCCCAAGCCGCGGCCACTGCTCCCAGCGGTGCTGGCCACCTTCTGCCCCCTCCCGCGTCCCCACCGGCATCTGCCGCCCTGCCCAGCCAGGGACTGCGTCTGCTGCAGCCCCCCGAGACACTGCTCCAGCACCCAGCGGCACTGGGGACGATCCCAAGGGAGTGGGGAAGGGCAGGGCAGGTCCGTCCCAGGGTCCATCGGTGCCTGCGCAGCCCATCCCTGCAGCAGTGTCCCTCCCCAGGGACCCGCATCAGCACGGCATGGCATGGCACAGCACGGCACGCTTTGAGGTCCAGAGCCAAAGCACATGGTACCATGGGGACAAGGCAGCACCCGGTGGCAGCGGGGGAGGCAGCCCGCAGACGGGCCCCTGGCCTCACTGCCAAGCAGAAGTGAAAGCCCAAAACCTCATCGCAGCGGTGCAGGATCCCACCAAAGCGTCCGGGGACAGCGCCCACTGCCACCCCGAGCAGCACCAGTGCCGCCGCGCCCCCGGCACCCTTCCCTCCCCGCTCCCCAGCTGCTCCCCGGCCGCGGCTTGGAGGACGCACGGGGATGTGGGGGGCAGCACTCTCCAAGAGCGGGGACCCCTCTCAAGGTTACCCCTCGAGGCTGAGCGATCCCGTACCTGACACCAGGCACGGACGGGTTGCTACGTGATGGTTTTTGCATGCATGTATGCTTGACATACATAGAGAAAGCTCACGCGATGATCTTTGTGTCCCATCCTGAGTCTGAGTGCAGGAAAGAGTAGAGTATTGACTGCCAATCCATCGGCGCTTCTGAAATATCTTACATGCCCCCATGTACTGATTGGACCTCGATAAGCTCACGACTGGATCAGCCCTGCCTGAGTGACCTCTGACTCTTCTCCTGCGACAACGCCGGCAGCTCGGCCGTGCTCAGCCGACAGCCTGTGCCGGGGGGCTGGACCCGCTGCCCCCATCGCTGCTGCGCACCCCACGTACTGGCTGTCAGAGGTGTCGGGGCTGGGCTGGGGTGGCACCGAGGTCTCTCCCGGCTCCGTTAGAGCCAGCGTCACCCAGGCAGGTTTTGCAGCGCACTCAAGCACCACGTGTCCGGCCGTCCGGCACGGGGATGAAGCGACCACTCGGTCCCTGCACCTCTCCCTCGGGGACGTGGGAGGGAGCCCCCCAGGGGGCAAAATCCCAGGGGATGCGGAGCCCCAAAGCCCGGCAGGAGCCCAGGGCCGTGCCTGGCCCCAGAGCCCCAGCAGGGAGCCGAGAAGCCTGGGGCAGACGGGACGCAGCGTCTGAACGCGGGGCGGCCACGGCACCCCCAGGTTCTCCTCCGCGGGGGGTCCTGCTGCCTCCCCCATCCCCCCCCCATTTCCCTTCACTAATTAAGCTGTCCTTGTCTCTAGCCAAGAGGTTCCTTTATTTCCCACGTTTGCCCTCCCGATTCTCCCCCCATCCCGCTGGGGGAAGCGAGCGGCGGGGGGAGCTCGGCTGCGGGCTGGGGTCAAGCATCCAGGGCCTGGGCTCAGGAGGGAGGGACCCGGGCTGGGTTTGGGCAGGACCTGGGCTCAGCATCGAGGGGATCCTCTTTCATTTCAAAAGCTCTGCCCACTGCTGCTGTTCGCTGGAGGACCAGCAGTGGGGGTCTTCCTTCTCCTCCTCCTCCTTCCTCCTCCTCCTCCTGCTCCTTTGCCCTTCCACTTACCCTTCCAGTGTCGGACAACTGCAGCAAGAGACCGGTTGAAGGAGGAGAGCGGTGAGTGGCCCCGGCACCGAGCGCCCTGCAAATGTCTGACACCCCACGGCAGCCCTGACCCGGGGCTGTGCAGGGGGCTGGCGGCCGCTCCCTCCCTCCCCGTACACAAACTCATTGGCCATAATGACCTGGAAAGATGAAGAGGGACCAACGGTGGATGAATTGGCTGGCCATCTCCGACAATATGAAGAAAGTCTCTCTTCCTCCCTACGGGCCTGTGTCTCTTGTAAGCCCCTCATGGTGCCCCATCCTGCAGACCGTGGGCTTCCATCAGCTGCCACCCCTGATTCCCAGGGAAACGTCCCAGTCCCTCCCGAGCCCCTCGCATCTGCCATGCCGGGGAAGGGCGTGGAGGGCCGCCGGGTGTCACAGAGGGGGGCTCTGCCTGCCCCACCGTGTCACAGAGGGGGGCTCTGCCTGCCCCCCCGCGTCACAGAGGGGGG